CCCTCTTCGGTAATAGTTTATTACCTAAATTAGCATTTTTTATTTTTAGCATTCTCCTGATGACGATGAAAGCAGCCAAAATGGTCAAAGTACAACAACAGCTCAAAACGGTTCTGAACTTGAAATTGTTTCTCTAAATTTGGAAAAGGGAGAAAGTGACGACGCAAAAAGTGTAGATAATGAACAACAAAATTGTATTGTTCCTTCTTCATCAGAAAAAACTTTGGATAGGTTTGAAGAGATCCGAACGATTGCATCTAGCGATATTGAAGTTATTCGTCAGATAGATGATTGGTAAGAATTTTTGGTTTATTTTTTGGGGTAGCAATTTTCTTGGCTAACAATTAATTTTGGGAAGAGCTTTAAGAAGAAATATTTTTTTAGTTTAGAGGTCCTGTCAGAAACTCAAAAATCATTTTTTAAACGTTTAAAGGTCAATAACAAGTAGTCACAATAATGGAAGTAGTTTTCATAATCCAATAAAAATAGTCAATAATACAAATAAAGAAGATATTCAACAACAAATTTCTACTTCAAATTCTTCAAAAGACCTTCAATTAGAACCTCAATCAATTCAAGAAATGACTGAACAAATTGCCCTTTTAGTTGGAAAACTTAAAAATAAGGATCAGAGGATAGAAGAATTGGGACGTTTAAATGAAAATTTAAAATTAACAAATGAAAATTTGACTGCAAGATATAAACAAAAGTTTGTGAAAATATTTTTTTGAACTTTTAAAATTATTTTTAAGGAATGCAAACGAAACAAAACTTAAAACTCAATTGGCGGAAACTGAGAAACAATTAAATGATCTTCTTGGGGAAGGTAAAAAATAATAATTTTTCAAGGAAACTATTCGAACTTTGTCTATTAATTTTGTGCTTTTTCGTTTTTTAACCCACTAAAATTGTTAATTTTAAGGCAAGAAGCTCTCTGAATACAGTGGACGTCAAGCAAAAGAAATTCGCAAATTAAAACAAGAATTGAGTCAATTAGAAATTGTTACAGCTGCAAGGGATAGTGCAGTAGAAGAACTTCAGGAATTAAATCAACAAACACAAGAACAAGAAGCACATTTAATACAAATAAATGAGGAATTGGAAAAATCAGAAAATGACAAAAATCGTTTAAATAATGAAATTGAAAAATTAAAAAATAAAAATACAACGATGGAAAATCAAATTTTGGAACAATTAAAAATTTTGGAAAGTACAAAAGAAGAGTTAAAAAGGTTGGAAAAAGATGCAAAAGTAGCTAGCAGAGAACGAGAGGTTTGGAAAAAAATTTTTTGGAATTAAAAAAATTTTTTTTGAAATTTTAAAGGAATTAATAAAAGAAAATAAACAACTTGCAAATAAATTAATGAACAAATCTGTCCAAGAAGGAATGGAAGGTGAACGAGAAAGAGGAATAATTGAAGATTTAAATGCTGAAAAGGCTAAAAATGTTGATGCTTTAAAAAGAATAAGAACACTCGAACAGGTTTTCTAAATTAATTTTTTAATAAAAATTTTTTTCCTAATTTAAAGCAATTGGAAAATCTACAAGATAATCAACGAGATTTTGCTTTAGAAATTTCTACAGGTTTTTAAAAAATATTTTCTTTTTCAATTGCTTATTTTTTAGCTAATTCGCCTCTGTTGCATACAATTTCTGGTTTAGAAGAAAAAAGTTGGTTTTTTTAATTAAAAGGAAGGGCTTGGACTTGGTTTTTCTTAACTTTAAAATAAAAAATTCCTTTAAAAATTTTTTTAGTTACATCTTTGGAACGTCAAAATGAATCACTTTCTCGTTCTTTAAATCAAACAAATATTCAATTATCAGAAAAAACATCCAAATCTTCAATTATAATAGAAATGCTCGGAAAAAATTTGGAAGATGAAAAGTCAAATTGTGCAGCAAAAGTTGAGGAATATGAAAGATTACAAAGGGAATATTCCCAGTTGGAAAGGTTTGATTATTTGTATTAAATTTTAGAAAGGGGACGAGGGATTAACGCCAATTTAATAAAATGCCGAAAATGGTCTAACTATTTTTCAACAATGACAACACTTTGCTAACATTTCTAAATTGATGTTTTATCATCTAGCTTGGATTTTACAAAATTAAAAATTTTTAAATTAATTAGAAAAATATTTTTTTCTAGTAAATTAAAACAAAAAGAAGACGAATTTATATCCCAACAACGCAAATCAGTTTCACAAATAGAAAGAATAGAGCGTCGACTTAAAGAATTGGAAATAGATCTCAATTCAAGAAATTTAGAAATTGTCGATTTGCAGCGAAAAAATAATGAATTGGAACAAAAATTGGCAAAATCAATAAAAGAGCAAATTGTGCCGACATTTTTACCTGTAAAATTTTATTTTTATAATTTTTATAATTTAATTCTTTTAGAAAAAGAGTGTTATAATTGCTAATAATGATGAATTGTCAGATATTGAAGGAACTGGAAAAAATATTGGAGCTAAATTCAAACAACAAAGGCAAGAACAACAACAAATATTAGCTCAAAAAAAGACATTAAAAAGTTTTCAGAAGGTTTTTTTTATTTTTTTAAAATAAATTTGGGGGATTTTTATAAGACTTTTGGGAAGTAGGACTTCGAGAGATTGACTATTGACTAAAATAATTTTTTAAAACTCATTGTGAGGGTCAAAAAAAATTTATTTCTAATTCGAAAATGAATTTAAAATCTATTCTGCTAATTAAAAGACTATTCAAACTCAATTTAATTTTAATTCTTTTTTTAGCCATCCTCATCAAATCAAATTCGAAATGAAGTTGATGCAATTATTCATGGAAATACAACAGATTATTCGGTTATTTTTCTAAAATTTTGCGAGTTGTTAGTGTGGTTAAGTGGTAAGAATTTAGGTTCCCCCTAGCGCTATGAGGAAGAGTTACCTTATAATCACCATCTTTCGGCTGATTGTTATTGATGGATAAAATTAGGGATCTGAGCGCTTTTTTTGTTAATAAAATTTTTTTTGAAATTTTTGTTTAAATTTAAGGGAAATTTTTTCAACTTTGAAATTTTTTAAGTTGGATACTCCATCAGTTGAACACCTTAGATTTGAATTAGATTCTTCACAAGCACAACTTTACCAACTGCGCGAACGTTTTGATCATCTGCTAGAATTGTATGGTGGATGTCTTGAAAGTATAGAAGAATTAAAAGAGGATAATGAGGACTTGAGAAAATTGTGTAAAGAGCAGGTTTATTTTTTAAAAGTTTCTAGGAATTTTTATTTAAATTAAATTTTTAAAGGCTTTGAAGATGGCTGGTGAAGAGAAATGTCAAGAGGAGGTGATGATTAATAATAATACTGACTTTGTATAATTCTCTTTTTTTAAAAACCATTTTGATTTGAGGTATTTTTTATTATTTAATTTCCCTCCTTTTCTTTTGCATAATGTCGTGTCACGGCTAAACTTCGTTCAGATGACTTTGTCTGATCAAAAGTTCAAAACACCGTTTGTCTGGACGAGTTTTTCCCCTCACCTGCATAATTGAGTTAAGAAATATTTAAAAATACAGTCGAAGGTTATTAAGGGACCCCTTTAGAAATCCCACAAGATAAGCTTATATTCTATTGAAAAAATTCTTTTTTTAAGTAATTCTCTTATGTCTCTCTCATGTCTAATTTTATTAATTATTATCTTATTTTTGTGATATTCTTCTACTAAATATATTTATGTTTAAGGGTAAAAATAGGACTAAAAATTCTATTATCTAAATTTTTAACGCAAAAAATTGTAAATTAATGTGCCTGAATCTTATATTTATATAAAAATTAATTTTTTTCTATAGCTATTAGAGTAAAAAATATAATTTTTTTAGAAAAAATTTTTTTTAGGAAGATAAGGAGGAATCCTCCCACAACACCCACTCCTCCCTTAACACCTTTAATTTTATACTACTTTACACAACATAAAAATTTATGTGTAAATTGGGAGTACATTCATTTTTCTGTCTATTTTTAATCCTTTTCTATTCGCTCATTAAATACTTTCTCCACTCTCTTTTCCATTCTTCACCTTCCATTTTTCTATTTATTCTGCATTATTCATATATACTTTTCCTTTTTATTTTCTTTTTTATCCTTTATGCGCCGTATATGCCTACAGGCCATCGATTTGCTTTAGTCTCGGGGGTTAGGGGAAACGTGTGAAAAAATCCTTTTTTTTTTTTGAAATATTGGTAGTATTATAGTAAATTGGTGGAAGGTTTTCTAAGGAAGTGAATTTTTTAATTAAAAAATAGTAGTAAAAATTTAAATGAGTATATAGAAGTAACTAAGTTAGAATGGGGAGATTAAATAAGAGCTAAAACAAAATTAAAAAAATTTTTCGGAATATTTTTTCAGTTTTTTTTTGAAATTTTTTTTAAAATTCTTTTTAATGGGGTTGACTTCTTTAGAATTACTATTTAAATTTATTTTTCGAAAAAAGAGAAGGAAAAAATTTTTCTTCCTAATTAAATTTTGCAAAATTGTGTTGTTGCCTCTCCATAATTCTGCCCTTTAAAAACAAAAAAAGTAAAAACAATTTTTCCATCCCTCTCCATTTTCAAGAGCCAATTTTCTCTTTTAAAAAGTGCAAAAGCCAATTAAGCATATTTTCTGCTCTTTGGTATGGAAATAGGAAGGGAGACTTGGAGTGGGTTGTGTTTTTATTTTTATCGACTGGTACTACCTAAAAATGTTTGCCAATTTTCTGAGTTGTAGGAGGGGGAGGGAATTTTCTTCCTTCTTTTTTAAACTAGAATCATGTGCATTTCACTTTCGTTTTCCTTATTTTTCTTGTTTTCATTATTTGTCATTTTTAGGAGGGGAATATATTATATTTTCTTTTACTTAATTAACCGACTTAAGTTTTTTTTTAATTAAAAAAAAATTTTTTTTTCTCAAAAAATTTTTTATTAATTAATTATTTTATTTTCCAATATTTTCTAGCACATAGGTCTAAAAAAATAATTTTCTCCTTTTTTTTAATCTTTTAAAATATTTATTACACACTCCCTCATTAATTTTCTTTTACATTTTTCTTCTCATTTCTTGTACTACTTACAAACACATTTATTTTATTTTTTCATTTTTCCAATCCGTTATTTTTCGATCGGACTAGTTCGTGTGTGTAGTAGTCGTTCAACTGACTCTGTCCACCCCCCCCCCTTCCCAAAAATTTTTTTCTTTTTTCTTTTTTCTGATCTTCGCCCTCCCAATTTTCCTTCCAAAAAATCGAATTATATAAACGTTTAAAAGTACTAAAAATTAAATTTAAAATAGTTTAACCGACCATTGGTCGATGTTTGTAACTGCTATAAAGTCTAAAAGACTGTTTAGCACAAATTCAAGACCAAAAAATTTTAATCGACCCAAAATTTCTTTATTAATTTGTTTTTGGTTTATTTTATCAACTAGCAACTTTTTTATTATTTGTTGGACACAAATGGCTAATAAAAATTTTAATTTAATCAAAAAAGGTGGTGGATGTTCTTACGAGGTTTTTTGGATTTTTCTGTAGGAAATTTTTCGAAAAAAATTCCGTAGGAAATTTGTAGGAATTTTTCGAAAAAAATTCCGAGAATTTTTTTCGGGGAAAAGTTTTTTGAAATATTTTGAAAAAAAATTGAGGAGAGATTTTTTTGAAAATTTTAAAAAAATTCAGAATTTTTATACAAAAATTTTTCAGAATTAAAAAAATTTTTTTCAGATCCCAGATGCTCAAGATTTAATTTTTGGAGTTCCCTTTGTTCACATTTCTTCTCCCTCAACTCATTCTTCTCCACTTCCTCGTCATCATTCTTTAAGGGCGCGCAAAAAGAGGTTTAGACGTGATTTGGTTAAAGGACGGGAATTTAGACAATTACGAATTAAATTGTATTTTGACCCTGTCAGCATATTACCGTTAGTTTTTTTTTATTTTTAATATACAAAAAAAATTTTTTCATAGGCTTTCGCAGGAAAAACAGTTGTACATTAATGCAAGTCAATTTAATTTTAAACACAATTTTTTAAATTAATTTTTTTTATTTTTTAGACTTCACTGTTGCCTGATGCTATTGGATTTTGGGAGGTATTATTTAATTTATTTTATTTAAATTTTGGGTAGGTTAGGAGGGGAAGGGTTTTTATTTTTTACAATTTTTGTAATTTGTTTCTCCATTTTTGGGCGTAAAGTCGAGGTTTCAAGTTGTGTTTCTACATTTTTTGGATAGGAATTTGAGTTGAAAAAGACTCCTCGACCCATCACTTAAGAGAGGCACTTTTTCACTCTTTTTTTCACCCTTTTCACAACTTTTTCCAACATATTTTTATTTTTTCTATAAAATTTTATTCCACAAAAAATCAACAATAATTATTTACAAACAAAAATATACTCCATATCTACAAAAATAATTTACATACATAATTATTATATTCCTATACACACAATTTTATTTATTTATTATTTTCTCTCTCTCTTTTCTAATTTTTACCAGTCGAGGAAGAAGATTCATCGCCACTATTCTCTTCCGGCATACTCGTTCCTTCAGTAGATGTTCCTCCTCCCTCCCCTCCTTCTTCCTCTTCTTCCTTCCCATCTTTTTCCTTTTCTTCATCTTTTCCTTCTTCACCAGATGATGATGGTGGTGGTACAGCACTAGTAGAAGTTTTACTTTCTTCAACACTTGATCCTTCAGAATTGCTCCTTTCACTAGCTGTTTGTGTGTGGGTAGATGATGAATCTAAAAAAAAATTTTTTTTTGAAAATTTTTCTTTGAAAATTTTCTTCTTCTTTAAAAAAATAATTTTCCTCTTACCTTCCTTTGCTGAACTCTTGCTTCTTGAAGATGGACCATGCGCAGTTTCTGGTGGAGAAATGTCTTGGTCTCTGACACTTTGCGTCAGTTCTTGGGTAAACTCCTAAAAAATAAAAAAATTTTTCTGAGGGGCCACTGGCCTCTCTCTATCCATTTACCTCTGCCAGTTCATCAAAGTAAAGATGCTTTGGCATTTTTTCTTTAGGCACAACATTGTCTGGCAATATCGGCGACTTTCCATCACTTAAGCGAGCACTAATATGAGCAGGCCTCGTTTTCAAAAGTCCATTAACACTATTATTAGGGATGGTCGTGGAAGTGGAGGTGGTATCCTTGAAAGACTTTTCATCATCATCCCTTTGTGTCGCTGCCATCATCCTTTCACTTTTTGCCGTTTTGAGAGATTTTGAAGATCTTGTAGATTTTATAGAAGCTAGGAAAGAATCTTCATTCCATCTTTCAACATCTTCCTCATCTTTTTGTTTCTCGAAGCGCTTTCGTTTCAGATAGAAAGTGGCGTAGTAGACAACAATGGATCTAAGAAAAAAAAGATTTTTTGAAAAAAATTATTTTGAAGGGCAAAACTAACATTGCCAAATAAGCAATAGATATGTACAAAGCCAAATTCCATGTAGAGAGCGAAAGGTTGTCCAAACTAAAAGTGAAAGAAATTTTTTAAAAAATTGAAGAAATAAACTTACAAGAAGCCCATTAAAGCGAGAGTTGTTGCTGTGTTAGAAGAGAGTAAAAGTGTTCGAGTGTCGTTGATTGAAACAAAATTTAAATTTTTGGGGGTTTTTATAGTAAAATAAATGTGGTTGATTTGAGGGATTTATTTTTTTAAATTTTTTAGCAAGCTTTGTCTGTTCGAAATTCACTAGCTCCAATAAGGCTGAGCAGGTGGGAGAGAGAAAGAAATTTTTTTTTAAATTAAAAATTTTTTTATAGAAAATGCGAGGACAACAAATACTATTCTGATCAAAATTCCCCCTTTCTGCGTTGTGTGACTCGTTGTAAACAGACTACTTATTGTGGAGAAGTTGCTGTACCTGATGAACATTTATTTGTTTGATTTTTATTTTTTTAAGTTTAAAATTTTATTTTTAGCAGTGCCGTTTCTGTATTCAATCTAATCCACTTTCTTGTGTCCCTTCTGGCCCACCTGACGGACAAGGGATTATAGGCTCAGATTTTCTTCTTTATGTTTCTGCTGTTCCTTCGCAAAGGTGTCAAAATGATGACACAATAGCTTATGCTGCACATTGCCAACAAGAAGCTGAATTGGACAGGTTTTTAATTTTATTTTTTTGTGGTAATTTAAAAGAAGATTTTTGGAAATTAAAAAAAAATTTAGAATTTTTTTGCGTTATTTTTTACTAAAATTTTTTCTAGGCCTATAGCTGGTCATGTCAATATCTGTCCACAGGCACTTTCAACACACTCACATGATCAAGTTATCTTTTTCGTTAATCTTTAAGAAAATTTATTTAAAAAGGAAGTTCTTCTCTCAACAGTTAAACATGAAATTTTACATGCTCTTGGATTCTCTGCTGGTTTATATGCTTTTTTTCGTGATTCAGAAGGACGTCCACGTTCTAGAAGGTTTTTAAAATGTATTTTTAAATAATTTTTTAAAATTTTAAAGAAATCAGAATAGCGGACGTCCCCTTTCATTTAATCGAGAAAGAGGTTTTTATGATGCAGAACCGTCTACAGTTCGTACAATAATTCGAGAAGATTGGTGGACGGCGGAAGGAGAGGTTTTTGCAATTTTAAGAATTTTTCTAAAATTTTAAAAATATTTTTTAGTTACCCCATCCTGTCCATTTATTGGTAACTGAAAAAATAATTGAGGAGGCTAGAAGACATTTTAATTGTTCAAAATTAGAAGGAGCTGAATTAGAAAATCAGGTTTTCTTTTTTTTAAATTATACCAACAAGTTCCGCAATTTACTATCAGTAAGTCAGAATTTTTCTCTAAGGGTTCTCTGTTGAATTTTTAATTGTATAGAGAAGAGATAGGACGATGTTGAGAAAAAAGTCGGGTCATGTTACAGACCGAGTTTTTAATATTCCTGTTCGAATCAGATTTTTACCCGTTTCTGGTATAAAGGATTCGACTAACTACCCAAAAATCCTTTCATAGCAAAAAATATTTTTTGACTTACGGACAAAAATTTACGGGTACTTCCCGATTTTTTTTTTCAAAAATTTTTTTTAAAAAGGGAGGAGATGGAACATCATTAACACATTGGGAAAAACGTTTATTTGAAAATGAGGCAATGACTGGAACACACACACAAAATCCAGTCTATTCTCGTTTAACGTTAGCTTTAATGGAAGATAGTGGATGGTATAAAGCTAATTATTCTGTTGCTGAACCTTTACATTGGGGAAATAATTTGGGTTGTGATTTTGCTATGAAAAGTTGTGGACAATGGATTAAACAAAGAATGGAAAGGTTTTCTTTTTAATTTTTAAATACGAAACGTTCTTGAAACTAGAAAAGAATACGAAATTTCGAGTTTCGCGAATTTTCGAAATTTCGTTAATTTCGAATTTTGAAAATTTTTTGAATTCTAATAATTTTTAAAATTTTTTTTAAAAATATTAGAAATGAGTCAGCAGCTCCGTTTTGTGCAGATATTAAACACGATGGAAGTAAATCTTTGGCGACTACACGCTGTACAGATCAAAGGGTAAAATTAATTTAAACGATTTTTTAAATAAAATATTCAATAAAATATTTTGGATTTTGATTTTTAAATTATGATTTTTGTAAAAATCAGAAAATTATGATTTTTCAGAAAAAATTCTGATATTTTTTAAATTTAAAGGATTCTTTGGCATTATGTAATTTAGTTCCACATAAAAAAGAATTACCTAAACAATATCGAAATTTTGGCAAATTAAAAGGTGTTAGAAAAGAAGGAATAAAATATTATGGGGGATCTGTTGAATTGGCTGATTATTGTCCTTATAATCAAGAATTTGAATGGAAAACAATTAATAATACAAGTGTTGGAAGGAGGGATAGTAGATGTGAATTAATTGGTAATGGGCCCCCAGACGGGGAAATTAGTGAAGATTATAATGAGGGAAATGCTGTAAGTTTCTGATTTTTTCTGATTATTCTGATTTTTATTCTGATTTTTTTAAAATTCTGGTTTTAAAAATTCTGATTTTTTGAGGATTCTGGTTTTCTGTAATTCTGATTTTTTGAATATTCTGATTTGAAAATGTTCTGATTTTTAAAAATTCTGCTTCTATTTATAAATTCTGATTAATATTCTGATTTTTTGACATGATGATTTTCTGTAAATTCTGATTTTTTGATATTCTGATTTATTAAAATGTTCTGATTTTCAAATATTCTGCTTCTGGTAATTTTGATTTTATAAATTCTGTTGGGAAATTCTGATTTTTTAAATATTCTGCTTCTTTTTAATATTCTGATTTTTTGAAAACTCTGATTTTAATTTATTAATTCTGATTTCAATTAATTCTCCATTATTTTTCTTACAGATTTTAGAACTTTACGGGCATGGTTCTCGTTGTTTAGATTTGGGTTTGAGTTGGACAGAAAAAAAGTGTGGAAGAACTCGGACTTATTCTCAATTTATGGCTGGGTGTTATCAAGTAAATTTAATTAAATTTTTTAAAAAAATAAATTTTAATTTTTAAAAAAAGATTGTTTGTTTAAATGGCCGTGTAAATATTCGTGTACATAATTCAACAAAGCTTTATCCTTGTTATAAATCTGGTCAACCAATTTATATTCGAAAAGTTTGTTTTTTTTTTTTAAATTATTTTTTTAAATGCATAGGCATTGGATTTTTATTTTTAAATTTACAATTTTTCCCTGGAATTTTTAAAATATTCGCGAGGGGTTCATAGAGTGAATGGGACGGATTATTCGAAACCCGGACCGTCTATCGTCCTGAAACCTGATCTAAAGTTTCGAAAATTTTGAAAACCTAATCCATCCCTGGTTGATTATTTATATTTAACCAATTATTAAATTTTTCTTTCAAAAAAATTTTTTTAAGTTTGTTAATGGATGGTTAAGGGAAGGTCAAATACTCTGTCCTGAATGTCAACAATTTTGTTTTAATAATAAAAATTTTGAAGAAGAAAAAGAAGATTTTTGTCTTCCCCCAACAGATCCGCCATTAAATGAAGGAGAAATTGGTGATGATCCTCTAATTGTTGAACTCCCATGTAAAGCATATCGTAATTATTTTAATTATTTAATTATTTTTTTTATTTTTATTTACCAAATCTAGAGTTGTTTTTTAATTTTTTAAATTAATGCCGGTTTTTAAAAAGCAGATAAATCTCTTTTAAAATATTAATTTATTTTTGCCTTTCTTTTTTAATTTTTTTAATAATTTATTTTCCTTTTTTTTTGGATTTATTTATGGTAGGAATTCCCACAATTAAATAAAAATTAATAAAAAAATATATATTTTTATATTAATGCCTTCTCAATTAATTTTTATTTTCGAGGATTTTCTCACATTAATTTAACAAAAATATTTTTCATTAATAAATGTGCCACACACAGTTTTTACTAAAAAATTATTTTTGACCAACAAAATTTTTTGACACCTTTATTATAATTTAGAGGTCGAGGTAACATTTCTTGACCAATTTTTTATTTAATGGATATTTTTAAAAAACATTTCTGTCTACCTATAGGTTAGGGATCCTGCTAACATGAAAAGAAAGTTCCCAATTTTGGGAACCAAGACTGCAGACTTTCTGTTTTACTACGTAAAAATGTCTTGAAAATTAAAAAATAAAAAAATTTTTATATTTTTGCTTACGTGTTCTTGCAACAATTTTTTCAATAGACAAATAATTTGTTTAAATTATTCAAACAAATTTTTAAAAAAAATATAAATAAAAATTATTACGTAGGTTTATGATGGATTATTACACATATATTTTATTTAAAATTTTTGACGTATTTTAGTCTATAAAAATTTTTTTATTCAAAAAAGTTTGGAGAGAATCATTATTTAATTAGACAAAATAAGAGATCAAAAAAATAATAATTTTTAAAATTTTCAAAAAATTTTCAAAAAATTTTCAAAAAAATTTTTCAAGCCCTCGAAGGAGCCAAAAGTATTGGCCAATCATTCCCTACCAAAATTCTCTGTCCTCTCCCTCCAAAACTTCTTTTTAAAGGCGGGGGTTGAATAAGTCTGCGACGTCCTGAAACAGACAAACTATTGCCGAGAAAGCCGGCATTGTCCTGAAATTAAAAAATTATTTTTTTTAATTTTTTAAATATTAATAATTTTAAAGAAATTATTTCAAGCTTAAAAAGCATAATAAATTGAGCATATAAATTTTATTTTTATTTTTTTAAAAAGGTGTTAACAATAAAAAAATAAAATATAATATCTGCAAAATTTTATTTTTAATTTTTTTGTAGTTTGCATGCATGAATAAATAATATTTTTTAAATAACGTAAATACAAATTTTTTTATTATTTTTGGAAAATATTATTAAAAAAAATTTTTTGGAAAAATAATAATTTATTTTTAAATTAATTAAATTTTTAAAAAATTAAAAAAAATTAAATTACCTCAGAATTATTTTCTGTATTATCAACAAAAAGTGAACGTTGCGAAATTCCAGAATTACTCCCCCCAACAGAGGGTCCAAATTGACGTATTTCAAAATCAAAACTTTCAACTTTATTACAAATAAATAGATGTAAAAGGATAAATAAAGTTGTTAGGAAGGAGAAGAAGAATTTTGTGTTTTTCATTTTAATGTGTTTTAGCAATTCTAAAAAGTTTAAAAAATAAAAATACAAAAAATAAACTTTGAATTAATGTAAAATACAAAAAAAATAAACTTGAAAAATACAACTTGAAATACAAGAAAAATACAACTTGAGATATTTGTATTTCCGGAAAAGTTTATTTAAAAATCCGGAAAGGTTTATTAATATATTTTTGTATTTTAGGTTTATTTAAATTACGGTCCGGAAAAGTTTATTTATTTATAATTAATTTAAGGTTCGTGTTTATAAATTATATATAAACTTAAAAATAAACTTAACAGAAAATAAACTTGAAATTGAACAAAACACAAAAATTATTTTTAAAATATTTTTTCATTTAATTTAAGACCACCAAAAAAGGGATAGAAAAATTACCATTTATCTGGCCTAAAGAAAATGGAATTAAATTGGGCGGAATGTCTTCAAAACACAAGATTTTTCACATTTTTTATTAAATTCTCATTTATTTGGGTAAATTAAAATATGTAAAGATTTATGGATTTTAAAATGTGATGAAATAAAACCGGAAATGTAAATATAAATTAAATACACCTGAAATAAAAAATGAAATACAAAAATATTTAGAAGAAAAACACAAACTTGAATTTTATTATTAAATAAACTTTCCGGAAATTTATTTAAATAAATCTAAAATACAAAAATACATTAAAAACTCTTCCGGAAAATATAAAGTTTCCGGAAAACACAAACTTGAATTTATTAAATAAACCTTAAATAATTAAATAAACTTAAATAAACTTGAATATGTATTTTTCAGGAAAATACACACATAAACAAGTTTGTATTTCATTTTAACAAGTTTGTATTTCATTTTACTAAACACCTTGTATTTTATTATTATTAAATAAGCGTGAAATACAAAATAATTAAAAATAAACTTGGAGAAAATACATAAATTATTAACTAAAAAATAAACACAAATTTTAATTAAAAATAAAGCTAAAAAAGTATAAAAGTACGAAAGCATTTATTTTTTAAGTCTTCTATTTAATTATTAAAAATAATAAAGTGCATTTATTTTGGCATTATTTTTTTATTAAAAATTAAAAACGAAAAAAAATATTACAACAGCGAGGGAAAATATACCGGAAAGTTTATTCAATTTTTGTATTTCAAGTTTATTTAATTTCCGGAACTAATTTAAATTTAAAGTTTTCCGGAAGAGATTATTTATTAATAGTATAGGTTTGTGTTTTCCGGAAAAAATTCAAGTTTAATTTAATTATTCTGTATTTCAGGTTTATTTAATAAAATTAAAGTTTGTATTTTTCTAAAAATTAAAATTTAATTTTTGTTTTCCGGAAAAGTTTATTCAATAGTGAAAATTTGTATTTTCCGGAAAGTTTATTATTAATAATAAAGGTCTGAGTTTTCCGGAAGGTTTATTTTTATTTCCGGAAAGGCTTACTAATGTATTTTTGTATTTTAGGTTTATTTAAACAAATTTCCGGAAAGTTTATTTATTTAATAATAATTAATCTAAAGCTTGTATTTACCGGAAAATTACTAAAATAAATTTAATATATAAATACGCTTAATAATTGTCTGCTGACAGCATAATTAAGGCGGAGTCTGCCAAGTTTATTTATTTAACACTAGAAGAATAATTTTACTTGAAGAAAGGGGCGTGTCTATTATTGACACACACATGTCTATTAGAGTATAATTAATATAATTTATATATTTTTAATTAAATTAAATTAAAAAAATTTTTTTAATAAATAAATCGTCTATAATTTATTTAATTATTTAATTAATTTAATTTTAAAAATATTAAAAGAATTTTTAATTGAAGTATTAGGTAGCTGCAGGCTGCCGTCTTTATAAAATAAATTTTAAATTTAAAAAAAATTGAAATGATTTTTTTTTAATTTTTAAAATAGTTTAAATGGACATTAGTCTGTCTACATTTTTCTAAAAAAAAATAAAAAAAATTTTTTTCTTTTAATTTTTATTAGATATTTATGTTTAAAATACGTTCTTTAAAAGCCTTTTTTAATTATTTTAAAAACGAACATTTAAATATTTTAACTAATTAAATACAAAAGTTGGTCTTTATGTCATGCATTTTAATAATTAAATAAATTTAAAAATATATGTTTCGTTTTTGGAAGAAAAAAATTTTTTAAGGAAGCTAATAAAATTAAAAATTGACGAAATTATTGAGAAAAGGACTGGAAATTTTTTTTTTAATTTTTAAAAAATTATTTTTAATTAAAAAAAATTTTTTAATTTTTTAAATAAATTTATTAGACCATTAGTCATTGAATTTTTTATCAAAACAATTTAATTTTATATTTATTTTTTATTTTATTTAAATTTATTTTTGGACAACATTTCATAATATTTTTTATATTTATTTTTTTCTTTTCCATAAAAATAAAAATATGTAAATTTATATGATATTATGCTATCAAAAAAAATAATATTGGGAATTAAAAGAATTATTAATATATTTAAGGAATTTAGTGGAAATAAATAAATGTGAAGTAACTATTTAAGAGGTATTTGTACACTAATCGGATAAATAAATAATTTTTTTTAATTTTTTTATTTGCTCTAAAAATCAACAGAAAATCAACAGGAAAAAAGAAAGAGACATTAAAACATGACAGATTTTTGAGGATCGATTTTGATTAAAATAAATAAAAAGTAAATATTTAAATAAATAAATGGAGAGACTGTCAGGAAGAGGAGGAAAAAATTAAATACAATTTTTAATACTTTTATTTTAATAAAAATATTTATTTTGTTAAATACTAGAGCTCTCTATATATTTCAAAAATAATTATAAAATTAATTTAAAGCTAAAAAATTTTTTAAAAATTAATTTTTGATTAATTAATTTAATTAACAAATCCCTTCCATATTTACATATTAATAAAATTTTAAAAATTAATTTTTAAAAAATTCCAAAGAAAATGAAATATCGAAAAAGATTGTTTGCAATGGATGAATACGAGTTAAAAGCAGCTCTAGAGTCATTGTTACCTGATCAAGTGGTTGAGGGAGCTAAAAAGGAAACAATGCAAGAAGAATTAGTACAATGGTGAAATTTGATTTTTAATTAATTAAATTTTTTTTAATATCTTAAAATTTAAAGAAAATTTTTCTAGATCAAAAATTCAAAAAAAAATTCAAAAAAATAATTTTAAAAATTCAAAAAAAAATAATTTTTAGGATCCTTTCCGAAGGTCTAACAGCTCGACACGAATTTTTATTTTATAAGGAAGAAGGCCCTCCAACACCTGGAACTGAGGAAGGGGAAATAAATAATAATTTAGAAAATATTCCAAGAATATGGCTATTAAATAAAAGGGCAAAAGGCTGTCCTTGTTGTGAAGGTAAATAAATTTTAAATTAAAAAATTTGTCATTAAAAATAAAAAATTTTTTTATTAAATTTATTTAAAAAAAAGTATTTACTATATTAAATAACTAAAACTTAATGAAAAATAAAATAAT